ATATATATCTTACATGGATTAAGTAGAAAAACTTAACCAGTGATGTTTATATATGTCCTAGGGTGTACCAAAAAATAACCCCCAGAATTTTTCCAAAGCTTTGTATTTAATTTTTTTTACAAAACAACCTGATCATCTTCAAAATACTCTCCATTACACTTAACATATTTGTCAAATCTGTGATTCCATTCTTGGTAACATTTTTCAAACTCATGTTTGGATGGCTGATAGCACATACCTATTTTTTTCTTCCCCTCTTCTGTGTCATCAAATTGCTGTCCTTGCATATCCCTTTTCATTCGAAGAAACAAAAAGACATTGTAGGTAGCGAATTCAGGTGGGTAAGGTACGCGGGCAAGAGAAGCATGCTGTGTTTACCCAAAACTGGTGCACTGAGATGGCTACATGAACAGGTGTATTGTCGTGGTGGTAAACACCAGTGCCCCTTCTGCCACAAACCAGGCTTGTTATGCAATCTTTTCAGACCCTCTAAATAGAGAGCTTGATTAACAGTCTCACCTAGTGGAATGAACTCCAAATGCACCATCCCCCTCACATCAAAGGACCACATGAGCATCGTCTTGATCTCTGATTTCACTTGACACACTTTGTTGGGTGAGGTAACGATGGCATCTTCTACTGGTTTGATTGATGTTTGCTTTGGGGGTTGTAAGACTAGCACCCGTGTCTTGTCATTGGTAATGACGTGGAAAAAAAGTCTGGGTCCCATCGAGCGGATCTTTCAAAGCATGGCATGTTTCTAGTGATGATCTTTTTGCTGGCCAGTCAGAACCCTAAGTATACATTTCACAGGCACCTTTCTCATTCCCAAATATTCCGTGAAAATTCACTGAACCACGCTTCAACATAGTCCAGATAACTTTCCCATCTCTTCAATGGTCGGCTGTCGGTCTTCGAGCACAAGTGCATGACTTTTGTCAACATTTTTGTAAGTTTGGGAAGTTGACTTACATTCGGAACTAGGTTTGTCATCAATTGACATTTCACCTATTTTGAAACAAGAAAACCACTCGTACACTTGAGTTTTTTTCCCATAGCACTGTCCTTGTAAGCTGCGTTCAACATCAAAATAGTAGTTTCTGCGGCATTTTTCCTGAGCAGAAAACAAAATTTCCAGGCCGCACACTGCTCTCTTAAATTGGCCATCACAAAAAAACGAGGTTGTAGTGAAACTGATTCTATGAAAAAATTCACTGTGACCAGAGAAGCTTCCCAGACCATACAAAGAGGTGCACTAACTCCCAGCAAGTTGCTCAATGCTTGCCTAGTGGGAAAAATGCATACTACGAAAGCTCCACTTAGCAAATTTTTTTTCCAGTTTGGGGGCACACGATATACATATTAAAATGTTTCTCTCTCTATATATTTTTTTTTCCTTGATAAAAATGTGCTTTCTCTCTCAGAGAGAAAAGACATTTTCATCAATAAAATGGCTCACACAGTTGTAGATGGGACAAGTCCGGGAAGCTTTCAAGTCCATGGGTCAGGTGTCATACTGGAAGCTTATCTTTCCTTGAATAGCTGGGAGGGTTGATGAAGCCAAGTTTGACACCGCTAGGTGGTGACAATAAAGGAAGAGGAATCTCTGGTTGGCAGGTCAAATGGCAGTCACTGATAACTCCCAGAATTGTCAGGTGATATTGAAGGCTGTTGACTCAAGTCCCAAGAATCAAAGACCACTGAGTGAGTCAGATTCAGGCCCAGCAAAAGACAAGCAGGTTTCCCCGCAGAATGCACTTAGATTGGGAGCAAACTGCACTCCAACGGAACGTCCTTTAATTAACTGACTAAGAACTGTAACCCGAGTGAGGGTGCATCCCACCCCAATCTCAGTGCAGCTGATTGGCTGTGCTTCCATCATGCTAGTTCATGCATGACACACCAGGAGAGTCTTGGTCTAACCAAACTGAGGCAAAGCCGAACGATCACAGCACAGACCTGATGTTTTCATGATGTCTTACCCGGAAGGCATCATAGTTTCAAAGTATATATGCAAGGGACCAAATTTGCATAACTCTTTATGTGTGTAGGAATGAGCATCCTGGAAATTATACTTTTCCAGCAACAGTTATACAATTAACTATCTTCAGGTTTTTATTTGTTTGTTTTGCTTTATTTTAATAAAATAAGATATTTTAATTTCCTCATTTTATGACCAGAATGAGATACCATTGATCTTTGTATTTATGGAGTTTTTAGATATATTATAGAATATTTTAATCAGTGCTATTAAATAAACCTAGCCAATAGTCCATTTTACATTTATAGGTCAATATTCAATTCTGATATAATTTGTTCAGGTCATCCCTTTTTTCCCTGTTTTTAATCGTTTTATAGTGGCTCGTACAACTTGTACATACATCA